CTGAGCCTTGTAGGATGCGCAGAGCATTCCCGACCTCTACCCGGCAGATGCCAGGAGCATCCTTCCTAACCAGCGTGACACTCAAAACTGTTTCTAGATGCTGTCAAATGTCTCCTGGGGGCAAACTTGCTGCTGGTTGGCAACTACTGGTTTGATCAATAAGTATCAATTTCTGCCAAGACAAAAGACACCCTTTGCTCAGATCCAACAAAGTAGAGGTTTATCTGTGCAAACTGGATACATGATCCTCACATACTAATTTACTCGTCTATGCCAAATATGTAAAATCCCACCAGGAAATGGTGTGAAGCCAAATGTTTGCCTACACCATTTTGCCAATATTATTCATCCAACTCTAATGGTCGGTCCATATTAAATAGTACACCAGTTTAAATAGCTCATAACTGGCTATAGCTAATGGTCAATGGTGTTATCAATCTCTTTCCTAACTAAGTGGTTAAAATGGAATTGTTTGTCCTATCACCAGGCATTCTCTTTATTGCAATGGCTAGAATTATGCAAATGACACCACATAACCCATATTGTCAAATCTCCCCCAGTGAATGAAGTAATGTATCTAATGTGGTCTATATTCCTTGCAAAGGAACAGACTGACAGAGCAGAGATCCCCCTCCTCCAAATTACTAAAAAAATAAAAATAAAAAATAAAAAATCATTATATTTTACACTGAAAACAGGTCAAATGTCGGTATGCAAATCATACCTCAATAAATCTATTTTTTACATTTGCTATAAAAAAATGAATGCCTCGAAAATCTATGATCTCCTTCTGCCGCTGACAAGATTAACTATTCGAAGCATCATGTGTTATGCTTGGACCTCGGAACAGATGCTGCTGAAGGTAACTACTGGGTTAGCACAGTTGCCACTAGGATGGGCACTAAAAGTCTTTTATTCCTCCAAATGCCCACGTTGGTCTGCGTCATCCTACCAGGGTGGGCACTGCGCCTGAGCTGGCACTTTAGTCTAGCACCTGCGCTCGCTGTCTGGTGGGAAAATGTCGCAGGCTCATGCACCTACAAGGAGCAGGTGAACACGCGTCCCGGTGTGCTCGAGTCGTGTTCTGTCAATGGCTTTGACACATTTACCACATGGGAGCCCTATACTTAGCACTGTGAACAGCAAGGTGACTGGGACAGGCCTGACCTTCAGAGAGTTTACAATTTAAGAAATCAAACCGGAATGTTTTTAGGAGAGATTTTAGATTTTGATAGGTTAAACTTTATATTTTAAATGCAAATAATTTGAAATGTGTCATTGACTATTTTAAAAATCCACAGTCTAAACTTAAGAGCAGTTGAGACTGGGTATTTCGTGTTTGTCAGAGGGGGTCTAGAGGGAGGCCCGACAAGCCCTCAGGATGGGGAAGAAGTCGCCTGCACAGCCACCCCTCCCACCTGGCTCAGCTCCTCCCTGCATGTCTCTCCTTCTCCAGCTCGTTTCCACCTGAGCAAGGAGGAAGCAGAGCCTGCGACTGTTAGTCACTCGGGCCCAGTCTCTCCATTGAGAGTACAGTGGAGAATCAGCACCATCATCTAGGTAGTTTATGGAACTCAAGTCATAATAACTAAGTAAGGGCAGAGCAGGTTGCTACAGTTCCAATTTAATGTAAGGACTTCCTATAAAGGACCGGTCCACTACACTTCAGGTTCTCCAAGGGCTATGCTGTGAGGGACGTAAGATGAAATTAACAAAGTCTTTGACCTCTAGGACCTTCTAGACAATTGGTAGCTTTTCAATTCTATTGCCCTGTGTAGACATGGCTTCTAAAAATCACTTATTATGCGCTCTCTGGGGCAAGGAAGGGTGTGTCACTTACGGGGCCTGGTTAATATTCACTTATATATAGAGTACCTGGTAAAAGCAAGAGTTCGAAAAATATGTGTTGAATAAGTGAGTGAATCAACAGATAGGCTGCCGATGCGGAGATAAAAATGGGTTACCCCCAAATCCTCACATTTTATACATCTTCATATTCAGGCACCTTCTTGTTCGTTTCTCATTGGTTAAATTGAAATGTATTTCAGATACATACAATGGTTTCTCATTGTATCCCCAAGTCAATCCAGAGTAAGGTGAGCGAAGTAATGATCTCAATCTTATTTTAGACTGAACCTCAGAGATCCCACATTTAGCCAGTTACAGAGTGAGTGACAAAGCCATGTGGACCTTGTGGTCCAAGGTTTGCTTTTCCAGTAACAACAGAAAGATGGATTAGGAGCCCGATGCACACAGAAGGTCCCGGGGCTGGGGAGACTTGGTCGGTCAAAGAGAACGTCCCACCTCGTCTCCCTTTGCGGTGGGAAAGCAGCTCAGAGCACTCAGCACACTAGTGGCAGCTGTGGAGTTGGCAGGTTCCTCAAGAGAAGGACTGTAAGCATTGTCATGGGCCAAGAAGATGGATGGGCCATTTATGCACCGGGGCTGACATGCAAATGGAACCCTGCCCAGCTTGACTGCCCTTTCTTCAAAGATGTCATTGACAGATGAGTATCTAAATGTTTTTGTTTAAAAATGAAAACAAGGAAAAAAGAAAGAAGAGACTAAAACAAAACAAAACAAGCATCTCTTTCTACTCCAAATAGACACATGTAGCTGGTGCCCAGGAGAACACCAGATCGGGCCTGGGACCGGGCAGGCCGTTCGGAGTAGTCCTTGATAATTATTTGCAAAATTGTTCACCTTTCTCTTCAGATACATTTCAATTTAACACAAGGATTTCATTGAAACCCCAAATTACTGCCAGTTGGCTGTAGCCCATCTGCTGTTGGAGGCACAGTGGTGGGGGACAGGCCTGCTCACATATTTCGTGTTCACCTGCCAAAACAAGGCTTCTTCCCCAATTAAAATGGCCTTTTTTAAAATTTGCGAGTGGTAAACAATGTCTACTTAATTTGAGGAAAATACACAGAAGAACGTTACGGAGCCTAATCACACAGGGACATGATGGGTGAGTCAGAGTCGAGGAGACTTGGGGAAGTGCTGTGGAGGCCACTCTGCTTCTGGAGACAGGAAGGTCCTCCCGAGGTCACTGCCTTCACAGTGCTGCGTCTGTGGCCGCTTTCAAGATCAAACCGAGCAAGTCTGTTTCATCTTATGTCTACCAAACACACTATAGGGAGGAAGATTAATAATCACCCGTTTTAAAAGGTAAGAACTAAATACAGTTCTTCAGATAACCTTGCTTCTTTATCTTGCCTTGTAATTATCTTTTGAAAATGGGGACCAGTCGAGTCCTACGGAGTTGCAATGAATAGGAGGATGTCTTTTCCACCGACTGAAGGTGGGCCCAACCTGCCTGTGGTCTCTGGCCGGCTGTGTAACTCAACAACAGATCAGCAAACCCTCTGGAGAAGCCACGTTCTTCTCCGGACTGGGTGTGCAATGCGTAGGTTGAGTCCTCGCTTCGCCCTCACTCAGCCAAATAGATATGCGCAAAATACAAGGTACTTCGAAATATCTGGGCATAGTTTGTGCACTTGGACAGAAGTGGCTTGGATGGGCACAGTTATCTAAGGGTCAACACAGAGCATTCTTCATGATGACTGAATGAGAAACGCAAGGGAAGGGTTTTCAAAAGGAAGTTCAAACAGACAGGCAGCTTTGGTCAGGCCTGTCACTGACAGGTGCCGCATGTGGGCGCAGCTGCTGAGAGATGCACACCTCCAGAACCAGCTGGCTGGGTCAGCCTGGAGGTCAGCGAGTCTGACCTCCTTAAAGCACAAATAAATCTTGCCGAGTTAAAATAATGATCCTGTCTCCTACTTCCCTCAAGGAACACGAGACCCTAAGTGACGAAACTTGAAGACAGCAGCCGTGAATCCTCAGAGTCCTTATCTCCTGGCTGATTAGTTGCAGGTCTGCCTAGTTCAAGATGAGCTACAGGTCAGACACACAAGGCTGTTTTCTTGCCGTGCCCAATAACTCATAAATAACCAAGGCAACTGTCCCCACATCTTTCAATACCTGTTAATATAATGATGATGCACAGGCTAAGTCAGAAATAAAGTGGGGGAAGAAACCAGTGTTTCCTAGCCAAAGAACAACCACTTCAAACATAGCAGCTCGGTTTGCATCCCTTCCCACAAGTCTCTGAGAAGACACAGGAGAGGATGTTCAAAGCCACCCTCCAATCCAGCCTATCCAGGGATGCTGCTCCAAGACAAAGTGACTCCCTTTGGTAAACCATGCCAACATCACGACGGGGCCTGGAAGGTCTCACCCGGGCATCAAGCGATAGATTCGACAGTGATCAGAAACAGGTGAGGTCCCACGCATGCTGTCACACCACTTCCTCAGCAGCTGTCTTCCAAGAGGGCTTGTGACAGTTTCCGGCCCGTTAGGCCAGATGCCACCAGTGAAAGCCCCCAGCCAGCTACAGAGATCTACTGATACTCCTGGGAGCGACAGAGATGGGAAAATCCAGAACCAAGGTTTTGTTTTTTTTTGTGTTTTTTTTTTTTTTGTGACAATTCAAGACTCTCAATTGTAAAATGTTTTGGCTTTCTCAAACCCAGCACCTGCAGATACATTTAACTCTAATTCCTCAGGGGGATTAGGGTGATGAAAATCTCAGGCTCACTGGAGAAGGGCACATTTCAGCTTGTATTTGCCTAAAACAAACCCCGCAATCTCCTCTCGTGCCCACTGTGATCTTAACGATGCGGAAGTGCCATCTGGCGCTGACTGTAAATGAGCCTGCGACCGACTGCCAGGAAGGGCCCCCTGCTCACACCGACAATTTCTTCCTGGCTCAGGGTTTAGGAATAAAAGTCCTGGGAAAGATTTCTGTTTGCACATCAAATGCAACCAGCTGTCAGAGCCTTGGATTGGAAGAGATGACACCAAGCTGCAGAGGGAGCAATTTAGAATTGTTTTTCCTTTGAAAAGCAACTTTCTGGTACATAGAAGTTGTTGACTGACCAGACACGTGGGCACCTTGCTTGTCTTATATCTGTTGATTAAAACCCACTGTTTACCTGCCACCACGGGAGATTTCCGCTCATCCAGGAGCTGGATGGAGGTGCTCGCGGTCACTACATTGCTTTTGTTGGCTGTTCCTGTAGGAAGGAAAACCAAAAACGGACATCGTTAGAGTGCACGTGTGAAGAGCGTGACCGCACTGGCTCATGGTCGCCAATTCTGCAGGGGTGCTGGGGATCGAGTCCCACAGCCCAGGGCTGGCCCACTGTGCTGCACAGGTGCGGGGCGGCCAGTCCGCCCACTGAAGTCCCAGTGACGCCACCGACACGGGAGCATTCGGCCTCTTCACATTAATGTCATTGACCTCTGGGGGGGAACCACGTTTTTTTTTTAAATTTGCAGTTATCAATTGCAGTGTTTACTTGTGTTAGTAATCATATTTATAGTGCCTTTCTAATGAGCCACAGAAAACTGCATGGGATAACATTTTGAAATTATTTTACGAGTTGAGAACTTTAGGTCTAATTTGTTGGTTAAAACTTTACTGATTTATAAAATTCTAATTTTAAGTCCAATTTTTTCTCAGCAAAACCATTCTAAACAGGGACAGAGCTGGCATACGATCCTTACTCCAAACCCTTTTAATGCGGTAACAAGGCATTACTATGAAGAGATTTTCAATCACTGACAATGGTTCCAATACCCAGGCATTAAAAGATGCTGAGCACAAATCCCTAGCCTTCTAAAAGGCGTTCAATGAATGTGAGTGAAAGGGTATCAATCGAATTGAGAAGCAGGCAGAAGGCAGACCTAAATTTGAATACCCTTATGACCAAAACAATTGAGAGCTTCTCCTGGCCCAAGTCTAAGCAGTAATGAAAACCAGCTTCCTCTCCAGTGTGTACAGGTATCCAACACACAGCCAAGAAAATGAGAGACCTCCACAGCAGCACCAGTGATTTTTAACATTTTCCCTGAATCTAAAGGGGCCATGAAATCTCCTAAGCTATTATGTCATCCACAAATTTACCAGTGTAAAGGTAAATTCCCTTACATTACATGATTTCACTGAAAGTTCAATGAGAACCCCACTTGCTAAAAGCCAATTAAGCAACAGCCTTAATTAATCAGAATTTGTTTTTCCCCACACATAATTCTTTGCAGGAAAAATAGTGAATAATAACCAAGGAAACTGAAATGAGAGGCCACGGCACACACATACAGACACACACAGACACACACAGACACACACATATAGACACACACAGACACACACACATATAGACACACACAGACACACACACATACAGACACACACACAGACATACACAGACATACACACAGACACACACATATAGACACACACACATACAGACAGACACACACAGACATACACAGACACACACATATAGACACACACAGACACACACAGACACACACACAGACACACACACATATAGACACACACAGACTCACACATATAGAGACACACAGACACACACACATATAGACATATACAGACACACACACAGACACACAAACATACAGACACACACACATACAGACACACACGCATATAGACACACACAGACACACACACAGACACACACACACACATACAGACACACACACATACAGACACACACAGACACACACACATAGACACACACAGACACACACACAGACACACACACATACAGACACACACCCACACACACCACTTTTGGGGGATGCTCATGTCTCCCACAGCTCCTTTCTGTCCAGTTTTGGGCAAAAGCTACTCTGTCACAAAGAATAACTTAGTGACTCCAGTCCAGATCTATTTTTTTCTTTAGAGGACTATGAAAAAGAAAGTACTATTCGAGTCCATGATAAAGAAGACATTACTGGTATGTTTCAGCAGAAAGAGAAAGTCCACGGTCTTAGTTGGTATTTCCAGCAATCAAGTGTGAGGCTGACTACAGAAAGAGAGAGCGCTAGTCATCTGGAAATTTACGTCGGAGAACACACATGTCCCCGGGCGTGGCTACACACAGGCTGTCAGCGAGGGGCACAGCCTCCAAGGGTCTCCATGCCAACAGAACCCAACTGATAATCTTGTCGAGAATCCCACCCAGCAAAGGAATTTCTATAAGGACATTTTGCCTTTTCTTAAATATCTTCATTCATGAGGGACCTGCTTTTTAATGAGTCCATTCAACTAATTATTAGACAACTCCTGTCAACATGTCTTCTGCAGGTTTCAAAAGAACTTTTTTTGAAGGTGTTCTCCTGCACGGAAATGAGGGGGCTTTGACACGAAGATGAGCCTCCGCTAGGGGTGCCTTAGGCATGCGTGCTGAGGTTAATACAAAGGCCCCGAGATAAAACGTAAGCAGGGCCTGAATGCCCAGAGAGCCCGTGTTCACGGAGCTGGTCCCATTCATCTCTGATGGAGCCACGACGCGCAGCCGTACACAGAACGGACGCATGAGCAGGAAAGCCAAGGACAATGGAAAGCATTTCGGGATGGATGCTTCTAAAACTGGTTAAGATAAGACAGTGTGCAGTTCTCTTTGTAGGGAGTGAACTTATCTTTTTTTTCTTTTTTTATAACATCATAAAATCTTCGGACTAGAAAAATCATTGGCTACACAACCCCATTGGTCCCTGCAGCCTTCTGTCAGGAGACGACGAGGCTGTGCAAGGTCTTAGTCCCTCCCCCTCCCTGTCCACGGGAATCAGTTCTGTTCTGATGGGGAACTGATGGCCTCAATCTGATGTGACTCGCTGACGGTTCTGGCAAAGGGCGTTAGGCCTGCCACAACTTTCTCTTGGTAGGGCCATGGCGACATTAAAGTTTGTATACAACTGAGACGTTTGTATTCAAATTCCACATGGTACAAAATAACAGCCCCGGGTTTGAAATGCTCTTTGCAAAACCCAGTTAAGCCAAAAGAGCTACATTTTATTTGGGGCCGTCACACTCACAGAACAGGTCATTGGTTCAGCGCCGAGCTGATACTCAGCATTGGCTCTCCAGGCTGAACTGGGGTCCCCTCCGCATTCAGGCAGACCTCCCACGCTCCGCAGGTGGCACCCAGGCCAGCAGGACCTGCCCGGCAGGGCCCCCTCCGACAAGGAACCCACCTGTGCTGAAGGGGATGGAGTAGACGAAGCTCCCTGGAAGCTGCTCGGCTGCTCTGCGGTACCAGAGAGGGAAGTGGTCGGCGTTAAAGATGTTCTCCTTGTCTCCGGCTCTCAGGAAGTCCCTGGAAATGGACAGGAACGAGGAGACATGGCCACTCCGCAGGGCAAAGCCGGAGCCCACCCGCCTGCGTGGGGTGAACGCAGCATTGGCCTGCAGACCCGCACCCGCCTTCCTCAGCCGGCCTGCGTGACGCTGTGCACCCCGGTGACCCAGAAATACCTGCAGAGTCCTGGCAGTCAGAATCCCGGTGGGTGAGATGAGTTTTCCTAGTGTGTCTAGTGAACTAATTATCTTAGCGTCTGAAACAAGCAAGCAGCCTCCAGACGCGTATCGGACCGAAGGGAACTCAGGAAGCTCTGCCTTAAAATCACCACAGGGACACATACCCTTGGGCGGACCCCCTCAGGCAGGTCTCACTCTCCTTAGAAAAAGCACGAAGGAGGTAAAGCGGGTCCACCAGGAAGCTTTGCTCCCCTCTTCCTTCCCCTCCCTGCTCTGCAGCCAAACAGGACCGCAGCTGGTCCCCTCGGTCAGTCCCTCACTGGTCAGTCCCTCACCGTCCCTGCCCCCTGCCAACCAACCGCTCACAGTGCTTCCTTCTGTCTGGATGGCTACACGCATGCTCCCCCACATCTGTCCCTCTCGACGTCTCATTCATTTCAGGTGTGTCTCAGATACCACCCACCACACAAATCCACAGACACACACGTGCTCCTGTCCACTCTGGGGCCCACAGCCTCGGTCCCTCTGGGGGACCATTGTCATGCCCCCGTCCCAAGTCTCCCAATCTGCGAGGAAAGGAGGTTTTGCTCCTGGTTCTGCATCCTTCCACAGCCCTAAGCACACAGACGTCTCAACGAGTTTGACTCATCTCTGAAGAGTCACGGTTACTCTCCGGCACCGAGTGCTTTGTGTTGGCTGATATGGTGCAATCAGAGGTGAAAATGACTGTCTGGTTAGTTCACACTCTGCAGAGATCTGTCAGGAAGGGAGACCAGTCTGGGGACAATGAAAATGTAGGGGGACGGACACCAGCTGAATCAGAAAGGGCACCACTGTCAACCCAGCAGTTTGCAGCACAGAGTGGCTCATCCAGACCAGTGACTTTCAACCCTTTGCATCTCATGGCACATAAACTAACGGCTGAAATTCCAGCACAACGAAAATAGGTTTTTTTGCCGATCTGACAAAAAGAAAAAAAGGTATAATTTTGATTTATGCAGACTGGACAGCTATTGTTATGCTGGCTGTTAGCATTTATTTTTTACTTGACAATCTAAGGGGAAAGAGGTCAGTGCCCCTGACTAAATAGTCAGATATTGCATCTTTTAAAAATTCTTACGGCACACCGATTGAAAATCACAGATACAGACTGTGGAAAGAAATACTCAGATATTCTCTATTATTCACCATGGTTGGATTTATATGTTAAATCATAACTAGTTGGTTATTAGAAACTACTTGACCTTGGTTGGCATCCAGTTTAAGAAAGCATTCTATAGTTTTAGGGTATGGCCAACCTGTGATCCCTTGATCTCTTCCAAAGATGAGAGGCTCACTCCTTTGACAGGAAGCCCATGCTGTCCGAGGCCACCTTCAAAGTCCTTAGGAGGCACTGAACTAGGCCCCCTTGTAACTTACATGACTCATTATGCACGACTCAGTATGCTTCATGATCACAGAATATATCAAATCTCATATCCAGATAAGAAATCCTCAAGTAATTTGCTACATTTGTTCTAAATGACATTTTTCAATTCTTCCAAACTCCCTCATATGTTTGGACCCCTTTCCGCAAAAGGGCTCTGCTCAGTTAACACCCCTATGACATTTTGTGCTACTGGACCTGAACATAGAAGACCGAGAACGGTCTTCCCTTACTGCCTACATTTGTTGACTGATTCTCACTGGCAGGATGACACTCCAGAAATTACAATCTTATTTTCCATGTTGGAAAAAGCTCTGTGCTCTCATTCCGAAGGCCAGCTTTGGAGCCATGAGCAGGACTGAGAAGGTGCAGAGCCCTGAGTTACACGGCGCTGGGTGGGGGGCATTCCAGGGTCAACGGCACGGATGAGCCTCCTGGCGCTGCTCTACGGCTCAGGAATGTCTCCCGACCCTCAAGTCATCAGGCTTCACAGACGCTGAGATGTGAGCTTTTTCAGTTTTCCTTTAGGCATGAGGTTCTTCAACGTTACGTGGACAGGCAAGTGAAGTTGTGGGTATTTCTAGCTTCCCAAAGCAATTTTATTTCTATACTCGTTTGTTCTCACAGTAACTCAGGGCGATCATTGGCCCCAATTTTCAGATGCACAGAGTGAGGGCAGTGAGTGAGACCAGCCAGGTGCACATCCCAGCCGTCCCGAGCTCATGTGACCATCTTTCAACTGTCCGATAGCACAGACAACAGATTAGCAAGGTGCCACATTTTGTGGTGGTTGTTTTTGTTTTATTTATTTATTTATCCTCACCTGAGGACATTTTTTCCATTTTTTGTTCAGATAGAGTGGGAGGGAGGGAGGGAGGGAGGGAGAGAGAGAGAGAAAGAGAGAGAGAGAAAGAGAGAGAGAGAAAGAGAGAGAGAAGCATCGACGTGAAAGGGACACATCAAGTGGTTGCCACCCACACCACCCAACCAGGGCCGGGGACAAACTGCAACCGAGGTATGTGCCCTTAGCGGGAACTGAACCCGGGTCTCTCTGGACCACAGGCCGATGCTCTAACCGCTGAACCAAACTGGCCAGGGCTCGTTTGTTTTAATCTCAAAACAAACAACAGCCCTTCTCTTTGAACATTAGACAATCTCTCCTTGCATCTCCTTTTGTCTCTCTGGGTCCTGAAGGGAGATGCACTGAGTATCTAGACAACTTCTATTTCTTCCTAGACGCTTGCTGCCTAGAAAAATAACTGTTCAAGCGTAAAGGGCAAACGAGAGCTTGAAAAAAAGTCAAGTCACAACTACAGTCAACTTCCTGAATGACAAATCTGAGATGCTGAGGAGGAGAATCCTTGAACAGGAATTAAAAGCAAGTCTACAAAACATCTACAGATCTGTGGACCTGCCGTACACCAGCCTTGGCTTCATGAGATCACCTGGCGGTGTCAGGGCCTCATACAGAGGCCAGAGTGCTGCCGACCGGGCTCAGAAGAAAGGAGCCCCCGCTGGGTCCACCCCTCTTGGTTATTCACCACCAGGTAGTGTGAGGGTCTGTGCGAACCTCTAAACTCCCACACACGCACTTTGCAAACTTTCTGAATCTCAGACTCCATTTGTCCCTGGCCTAATAAGATCTTGCTTCAGAGAAAAGAAAATGAGAGAACTTATTAAAAGGCTCAGGAAAGACTCCCCAGGGTCGCACGGGCTCTGGACAAACACCGGTTTGTTAAGGGCCTACGGCTCTCTGGAGACACAGGCCTGAGCAGTGGTTTCGGGCATCTGGGCCCTGGATTCGGCCAAGCTCTGCACGCCGTCCACTGGGGCTCGTTGGAAGCACAAGGAAACATTGTCCCACCGAGTGTCACCAGCCTGCTCACTCCTGGGGCAGGGCTCCGCAGGCCTGCGGCTCAGTGTGGAGGCTCACAGGTCTATCCTCATGCACACAGGTCTATCCTCATGCACACAGGTCTATCCTCATGCACATGAGCACAGAAACACCGACTGGAGGGGCAGGAACTCCTCCAGAGCTGCGGAACAGCTGAACTCCCTGAAGCCATTTGTCAGGGGATGAGTCGTCCTCCCTCCAGCGGTCCCCCCCTCCCCCATCAGCAGCCGTACCATCTCCAGAGCTCTGAAATGACTCATCAGGGTGGGAGAGGACTCCAGGATGGTGGACAGAAGCCAAGAAGCCTGGAGAACAAAGGGTTGTGGAAGGACCAACGGGCAGGTGAGCACACACGCTGGGGCCCCCGTGGTAGAACAGAGAGGGGAAATGTCAGCAGGCCGGGGGTGGCCTGAATTTTGTTTCTACCAGTGGTGGAATCAAGCAATGAAAAGGCTTCCCTTTGAACTTCCTGTCTCAGGATCTCCCTGGGCCCGCAGAGGATCCCCCTACTTACTGATTGGTGAGCTGCTCAGCCCCGACAAACAGGCTGGTCCTCGAGAGGCCCGTGCGCGTGCCGAGGATGGCCACCTCCACGCCCTTGTCAGAATTCCTGAAACAGAGCAGCGGGCGTCGGGGCTCCACACAGTAAGCAGATGAGGGCTTTTGCATTTTAAGACTCAGGGAATCTTTTATGAAAGAGCAATTTCGAAACATGAACTTTAAAAAGGAATTATAGAAACACATACACCAAGCTCAGAATGCAAAGTCTTATTACTTATAAAATGTTCATCCTCAATCTTGCAAGAAAATGTAAGAATCCAATGAGAACAAAAGCATCCCGAGGAAACGCGCCCCCAGAGCTAACTAAGAACATCTTTATTTCCAGTTTCTGGGTGCCAGTCCAGGCAGAGCGAGCTGAGAATGAGAACAACTTTCAGGAGAGGAAGCAAGTCCTGACAGAGAGATTTTTGCATTGATGTTACAAAGTTTATATGTGGTCCTGAGACCATTGGTGGAATATGTCATTAGCAAAAATAAGAAACTGAGCCCCTGAATCAAATCTGCAGCATCCTACGGCCTGGGAATGTCTAGGACTTGAATTCTACACCTGTGGGCACCATCTTATAACCTATACCAGAGCACAGGCCTCATCCTCACCACCAACCCCAAAGAGATGAGTGAAGAATTGGCCCCTTCGGATAACCCTGCAGATGTCATTCATATGAACCCAAAGAATGGCCTTCACAAGAAAAGTCATTGGAGAATTCACTAACGAGTTTTTTTTTTCAACTTTTGAGGTTATTTTTATGTTTGAACAAGGTCTTTAGGATATTTTCAATGCATGCTTCTTTTAAAAAAAATCATCAAATGGTTTTCTCAACAAATACATAGTTTTATTTTCAATAGAAGTATAAAGAGAATACAGACTATAGAATTTGCTTCTCTGCTCTAGATGCAAGTAACCATTTGATTCATCTGCAATATAAGATCATTTGTTTACTGGATCTTTGATGGTAGTCAAAGTGGTCAATACTACCTTTAAGTATTTAAGGGGTGAATAAAAACCAACACGATGCATTTGTTTCTGCTTGTAGCCAATCCCGGGTTGGAAAGCCAGGCTGCCCGATCAGGAACAGATGTGGACTACAAAGCAAGCTACCATTTTGGAAATCTTTAGCATGTGTTAGGAGTGAATCAGCAATCTTTGCACAGAATTTTAAGTTTCATGCAAGCCTGTAAGAAACACGTCTACCTCCACTAGAGAATGCAATCGCAAGAAAGGCTTTGGCTCTTTCTCAACGTCCCCGGCATAAGATCCAGGTAGGTAAGCATTCCAAGAAACCACAGCTCTAATGAGAATGGTCATCTCTCCTTAGCACTTCAGGCTCATCTATTAAATTGTCTACCTCCCCTCTCTACTTGGGAGGCTTGTAGTCATCTTAATCTTAAAATGTCTAGAAAAGAACTTTGGCCCAGTCCAGTCCCAAACCTGCTCTGTTTCCCATCCTGGGAAATGGCACCCAGTTACTCATGTCCTAAACCTGAGAATGACCCTTGACAGTTCAGCCGCCCTCTCCTCTCAGCAAACCCACCATCAAGTGCTGGGGGTCTTGCTTCTGAAGCATGCCACATAGGCCTCTTTTCTCTCTGTGCCCCCGCCACTGCCCTGTCTGAGTGGCAAACCCCTGGGAATGACGTAGGAGCCTCTGGTATTGTTTTTACTCCATTACAATCCATTTTCTACACAGCGGTAAAAGGATCTTTAAAAAACAAATCTAGTCCGGCCAGTGTGGCTCAGTCAGTGGTTGAGCGTTACCCATGCACCAGGAGGCCGCCGGTTCAATTCTCGGTCAGGGCACGTGCCCAGATTGTGGGCCAAATCCCCAATGGGGGGCATGCAAGAAGTGGCCAGTCGATGTTCTCTCTCATCGATGTTTCTGTCTCCCTCTCCCTCTCCCTCTCTCTCTAAAAATCAATAAAGAAAAACAAAACAAAAAAACAAAGCTAATCATGTCTTTCTTAAAACCATTCAATGCTTTTCCAATACTTCTGAGTATGAAGTCCAAAATCTTTAACTTGACTTCCAAGGTCCTGAAACACTTGTCCTCTCTGCAGCCTTATCTCCGGATATGCTCTACCCTGCCCTCTGTTGGCCTTCTTTAAATTCCTCTAATGCATCAAATTCTTTCTTACCTCAGGACCTTTGCACATGCTGTTCTAATACTTCCAAGGTCCTGAAACACTTGTCCTCTCTGCAGCCTTATCTCCGGATATGCTCTACCCTGCCCTCTGTTGGCCTTCTTTAAATTCCTCTAATGCATCAAATTCTTTCTTACCTCAGGACCTTTGCACATGCTGTTCTAATACCCTGGAATGCTCTTCAAACCTTGAACTAGTTCCTGCTCAGAAAAGCCTTCCCTGTCTTCTATCTCTACTCTAGATCTCATTACAATCTACATGTCTTTATTTTTCCTTCAACACAGTTATCACAGTTTTTCATACCTTACCATGATGGCAAGGACCATGTTTAATTGAGTTACCTACATCTCACCAATACCTAGCCCCATCCCTGGCACATAAACATGTAATCGATACTTCATGAATGAATGAATGAATGAATGAACGAATGAATGAATATGAGAGTAGAATGAATAATGGGTAGGATAGAAAAGAATATACAGAAGGAAAGGTAAATGAAGGAAATAAATCAATAAAGAGCAGAAAAGGAGAGAGAACTGAATAATGTATGACATAAAGGTATCAGAAAAAGAAATGACTTTTCTTACTATATTTAATCTTTAACAGCCCACTTAAAATAGTAGTAAAAAGATAATAATAAAATAATACTAATAAGCTGCTGGAGCAGTTCTCACCCCAGTCTTGGACAACTACCCTTGCCTGCCCCCATCCCCTGACATCCTCCCCTTCGGAAATAAAACCACAGGGTTATACCTGACACCCTAATGCAACAGAGCTCTGGCTTCGCCGTCCGCTCCCCGCTAACCTGGCCCGGGTCCCAGCTTCCCAGACTGTGAAGTAGAGGCAGCCATGGCCGGGCAGGAAGCAAAATGCTCCTTCCGCCCCCCCACCAAGTGTCACCCTACCTCAGCATACCAAATTTCATGTAATGTTCAAACTCAAACAAATTATATGTCAAACCCAGTAGCTCGCCATCCAAGCCCCAGCCGCTAATCTGCTCTAGCTCTTGTGGTTTGGAGCTTTGGGGAAAATTAAAGAACTTTAACACCAGGCTCCTCAAACAGTTTAGTTCTTAAACTATAACCATATTTCGGACTGTTTGTGGGGAAATGCCATGAAAGGGGGACACGTGCAACCACTTACTCAGATTTGTTGAGGGCAAGGCTGGTCCAATAGGCTTCAATGGGAGCACTCACCACGGCATCGAAGAGGACTTCCTGGATCAGTTCCTTGTCACCTGTTGGGAGGGACAGACTTGAGGAGATGGCTCCTGGCCCGGCCCCCAAAAGGGGCAGGAGAAGCACCCACGATTGCAGTCTGCAGGCCACTCTTCAGCCAGGGTGGTGCTCGTGCACTGTCCCCGCCCCCGTGGAGAGCACGGGGCCGCCTGACACCGGAGAGGCCAGCCACTCAGGCCCCCGGCGTTTGGATGGCCGGAGAGGCCAGCCACCCAGGCCCCTGGCGTTTGGATGGCCGGAGAGGCCAGCCACCCAGGCCCCAGCGTTTGGATGGCTAGAGAGGCCGGCCACCCAGCGCCCCCGGCGTTTGGATGGCTGGAGAGGCCAGCCACCCAGGCCCCGGCGTTTGGATGACCGGAGAGGCCGGCCACCCAGTGCCCCCGGTGTTTGGATGACCGGAGAGGCCAGCCACCCAGGCCCCGGCGTTTGGATGGCTGGAGAGGCCAGCCACCCAGGCCCCGGCGTTTGGATGGCTGGAGAGGCCGGCCACCCAGTGCCCCCGGTGTTTGGATGACCGGAGAGGCCAGCCACCCAGGCCCCGGCGTTTGGATGGCTGGAGAGGCCGGCCACCCAGTGCCCCCGGTGTTTGGATGACCGGAGAGGCCAGCCACCCAGGCCCCGGCGTTTGGATGGCTGGAGAGGCTGGCCACCCAGTGCCCCCAGTGTTTGGATGACCGGAGAGGCCAGCCACCCAGGCCCCCGGCGTTTGGATGGCAGTAGTTAGTGCAGGAGAGTCGTGGGAGTCCCGCACGTCTGCTTGCCGCGCTCTCCCCATCCAGTAGTTCATGCCGCAGACCTCGTGCCAACTCCGGGCCTTGGAGACCAGAAGGCAGCAGTCCTGGGAACGTCTGCTCTTCTCAACCCCTTGTCTGTCCTCTGTCAGCACCTGTGATTCTTCGGGGCCCTGGTTTCAGCCAGTTGTAGGAAGGGAAGGGGATACAATAACCTCATAACCCCTGGGACTCTTTATTTTGTGATTTCTTCCATTAAAAACTTTTTTTTTTTCATTTTAGAGGGGGAAAAGGCCCTTGGCAGAGGGACACTCGGCAGAGTGCTATGGACGAGGCTTAGAGATCGGGGGCTATCACGAGTCCAGCACAGGTGTCCTAGGCCCTTCAGTCACCCCACAATGACCACGTATGACAGCTCAGCCTTACCTGGGCTGGGGGCCAAGAACAGGTAGAGCTTTGTTATGAAAGTTAAAAAAAAAAACAAAAAAAAAACTTATCCACACCCCCCCATAAAACACCAATGGAAAACTGAGAAATAGTCATGTAGAGAAATAGTCATTATATAGTAATTCAAGCAAAAGAGTAAGAGCTAAACAATCAACACCAATACATCTCAAAATTATAAGTGAAAACACAAGTTGTAGAACAATACATATCATACTATAACACGTATTATGCCTATAGTACACCATATATGTAAACCTTATAGAAAACGTAGTTCAATATATAAAATAATGTCACATATTTTTAATGGACACAAATACAGGGTAGGGCAAAAGTAGGTTTACAGTTGGGAGTACATGAGTTTATTCCTGGACTATTATTTACTAGTTATTGTGTGATCTTCTATATGAACAGCTGTAACCTACTTTTGCCCACCCTGTGTGTAGCAGTGGTATGAAGTGTGTGCAATGATGATCAGATACCAGACGGCGAGTCTCTCCGGGGGGGGGGGGGGGGGGGCGGGGGGGACTCTCAGAGGCGTCAACATTATCTGTGAGGTTTCATTCCTTAAAAATGGGCACGAAGCTAGTATGGCAAAATATTAAGGCTTGATGGTAAATATGAATGGTTTTTAAGTCTAATTTCTATACTTTAAAAAATATGTCATAGAAAAAAGTCAAAGTAGGTAACATATTGAGCTTGTCTGATATCCATCTGATTCTTTCTCTATCGGAGCGTATTCTGCAAAGTTACTCCAGTTCAGGAAGATGTGGTTTAGAGGCTCGGTAACCTCCTTACACCTCTCACAGGGCTGCTGTGGCTAATCTATAAGATAATAGATGTAAAGAACATTTCACATCACTGATAAGTGATATCACCAGGCTCATCGTCGGTGAGTCTTCCTCTGCCCAATCCTTAGCGACTGCAACTAACATATGCCAGTTCAAGGTCGAATCTTGCACATGCGAGTGCCAGGCCCGATGCTGCTCTGCCCGCCCCTCCCTCTGCATGAGTCACCTGCCATTTGTGACTCATTGAGCTCCCTCAGAGAGCACCTGGTGGGAGGAGAGGAGCAGGTCATACCTCACTAGAGGCGACATATAACTGTGGCAATCCCATCCTGGAGAGAACCAGGAGACCTAGACTATGACCTTGAGTGAGGCAAGTCCTATTTCCAGTCCTGGTTTACCGTTTGTAAATAAAGAAACTGGATGAGCAGCTCTACACAGTCCCCTCCCACCTGAGACATTTTCGTCCTATTTAGGTATTTGGCTCTATGGTTTGGTAGGGGGACAAACCACCTATAAAGGGTTAATCTGGGATTGGGAATTCTGCATGACTTTCCATAACCCACAGTCTTTCTCCTTTCCTACAGGAAGCAGACATTCCGCTGGATTTAACGGGACTGATAGTCTCTGCCAAAGCAAAGCTTCCCTGGAAACCCGAAGCGACCCACGGGTCTGATTCACTCCCTCCCACCACACGCACACGCGACATGCGTTTAGAAACACACTCACATTGGAGCAGCGGTTCTTTGCCTTTGAGGTAGAGCTTAATAGCTTCCAACTGAGACAGGTGACGGTGCTCTGGGTGCAGGTCAGTGTTGCAGTAGGACCTAAGGACATGACATGGCCCGAAACAAGAACATGTAAGTATTTACAGAGCCACCTTCCTTTGCCTTTGAACTAGGAGAATTAGGCAAGAGAGTATAGTCAACTTGATGAAGGACTTTCATTCTTACCATTCGTCTGCCAAGGACACGTCGGGGTGTTCTAAGTCATGCAGGCCTGGGGGTCAAGGAGAGGAAGACAATGAGTAAGTGCCGTCTGTGTGGTGCAGAGGGTCTCAGGCGGGCCCAAGGGGAGGTTAAGAGTAGACACCCAGCCCAAAGGTATCTGCCTGGGGAAAGGGATCCGAGCAGAGGAAACACGTTCTTTTCCAGGCAGAACTCTCCACTTCGGCCTCACTCAGCCGAGTCTCCCAGGAAAAGCCTCAGCTCCTTGCAGAGAAATGACGCTCCAGTGACTCATGGGACAGGAGCTCAGGGAGATGGTGGGAACTGCCTCCAGGGCCCCAGGCACCCTGACCTGGGCACAGGGTGGGGCCCCTACTGCCGTGTGACGTTAGCAGGTTGCTTTACTGTTCTAAATGTCTCTTCATGTGCAAAGCAGGAATAATAGTAATGGTCTCTGACTGATGGGTGGTTGTGAGGGTGAAATTATAGGTTGAGTCATATGAAATTGCCAATTTTTGACCGGCAAAAATTGCTTGTTGTCACAGAATCCTACGTAAAAATGAGTCAGCAGTATGGAAAGGTAGCTAAGAGAACGGGGCTAGGCAGAGAATTGGGGAGTTTTTATAGAATGGTCTAGGCCACCCCAGCTCTGTGAAATCACTCTCTTTCCTTGTGTGTTCATGTGACCTCATTTCAGTGGGTCATTAGCAGACATACACTTCTGAGTCATGGCCTCAGGGACTCTGATGATGCTGATAGCCTGTTTTAGGATGTCAAAGTTTCCCGACAACAGCAGCATCTTATTGCACTCAGAATTCCAGCGGTCTCCTCAAATACAAATGTGTAAAACAGCCAAATACTAGACCTAGCATCTCACACTCTTGCTTGATTTTCTAGGAAGTCGGGGTAAATTAGATAGAATAGTTTCATATGTTTTCCAAGTGTCCATATCCTGGCTCCGGCACCTACTGGTCGAATGATCCCGTGAATGTCACTTCAACTCTGTTTTATCAGCCAGAAGGCTCAGGTCAAAGAGCCTAACTCCCAGAGGCCATGAGAGGATTACACAGCACAGTGATTAGTCCCTAGGACAATTCATGTCCCCATCTGCCCCCTTTGCTCCTGCTCCTGCCCTCTTCTCCTGCTCCCTTCATTGCATACACGCACTGGGCAAAGTACTCTCCCAGGCCCTCAGAACACAGCAGTGAGCAAAGCAGAAATCACTTTCTTCCTTGTAATCACTTTCTAGTGGCAGAAAAGAGATGAGTAAATAAATCAAATATGTAGTTCATCAGTTAGTAGCGAGGGCTATGAAGAAAAAGAGAGAATGTAATGAGGGTAGGGCGTGCCAAGAGACAGTAAGGGTTGAAAAAGAAAGTTCCCATTTTAACCATGGAAGTCAGGGTAGTCTTCACTGAGAAAGTGGCTTGTGAGCAAACTCCTGAAGGAGGCGGGGAGACGGGCGTGTGGAGAACGAGGGAGACAGTGCTCAGGGCCGAAGGAGTGATACGTGCGAAGGCCCTCATGTGGCATCTACCTTCCTGGAAGACTGGGTTAATGATGTCAATTCTATCTACTTTTCTAGCGTCTGTTCCCATCAACTTTGATCCACGAAGCCCTCCCTACCTACATTTCCCAGGACCTGTCGATGAGAGCCTCAAAGAAAGATCTTTTTTATTTCTTCCTCTCTGAGTTCTTAGGGCACCAAAGAAATTGAATCGTTTTCTAATTCTTTCACCTCTTATTTTGGTCCTCCTGACAAAATCACACCTACTGATGATTCATAATGCTGACAATAATGACAGAAGCTTCCATTCATTAAACAATTGTCCAATATATATTAAAGATACAAAGTGTTGCCCTGGCCAGTTTGGCTCCGCGGTTAGAGTGTCAGCCCGTGGACCTCAGAGACCCGGGTTCGGTTCCCGCTAAGGGCATGGGCCTCAGTTGCAGTTTGTCCCCGGCCCCAGCTGGGGTCACGTGGGTGGCAACCACTCGATGTGTCTCTCTCACATCGATGTTTCTCTCTCTCTCTTCTCCCTTCTCTCCCTCCTGCTCTATCTGAAGATAAATGCAAAAGTGTCCTCAGATGAGGATAAAAAATAAAAATTAAAAAAAAAGATACAAAGTGTCAAGGAGATTCATGAGAGGAGCGATTTCAGCAGGTAGAACTAGAGCTCGTGACTTCGACCTCAGTACTGACTCCTGACATTTGGAGCAAAGTCTACCTGTTTAGCATCTTTGTAATATCTGGCTGGCATTCACAAAGCACATTCAAAATGCCTAAATTCTCTGGGACAGCATTCTACAGAAGTGAGGTTGTCATTGCCAAGGTTCTCCTTCCTTCTCCAAGAACGGAACTGAACAGCAGTCACGCCTTGGCCCTTACTGATGAGAAGACCCTCTCCCAGTTAGCCCAAGGGGCAGCCACTTTGTGAGGCTCTGCTACTCAGCACAGGGTGAGGACTGCAGCCCCCTCATTCACAGAGGGCCGACAGAGAGAGGAAGATCTGACCTCATTTGTGTGGATAACCAGACACGCTCCCTCTCGCTAAGGATTCAATCTAATTTCTTGCACGGCGGTTACAGTTAGCTCTGAAACCCTCTCTGTGTGACCGCTCAGCCTAACAGCTGTGGGACATGCAGGGAGAAGATAGTGACTAAAGGAATGATCCGCAAATCAATGCAAAACAACTTGCAGGCCTACATATTGAGGACTGATTAAGGGGATGGACACTGCAAGGCAAATCATCTATTGGTAATCTCTCCTTCTATTGTTCTGACTATGGGCTGCTTCCTCCGCTTGACCTCAGATGGCTTAAACCTGTCTTTTCTGTCTTTATAGGCAGTGATATCCACAGAACCACGCATGGCTCAAGGAGCCAGAACACTCTAGAATTTAAGAAATGAGATTGGAGAATACATCTTTTTTAGTATCTTGCCCAAGTTGCCTGTTTTCTCTTGCGTGTCTCTGGGAAGAGGCCACACAACTGATGAGCTCCAGTGGGCACACTCCGAGTTCTGCCCAGGTCACAAGGACCCCTTCCCTCTCCTCGCTGTCCCTTGAGACCACACAGTTGCTTGGGAGATGAAACCAACACCCGCGAAGCGCATGGAGAATCAGTGGTAAACTAGAGGACTGTTTACGGAAACCGGCGTCTCAGGGACAACCAGTCCCATTCTTCATTCTCAGTGACATCTGAGCCACAAGGTGGTCCAGCTTCTGGGAGTTCACTACCTTCATTTGTAACCAGCTTTAACCAACCAAAACCTGACTGGTACCAGACCTTCCTGCTCTTGGCCATACTTCCTGGGGACACCCAGACAGAACACTGGCCTGGTCCAACTCCTTCTTGATGGAGATGCAAAATCGAACACCCAGATTAGGCGAGGGACGTACTCAAGGCCACTCTGGGAGTGCAGCTCTTCAGAGTCCAGCCCCACGCCTCCCTGTGGGCACTGGTCCTGAGCAAGGTAACTTCTCCGAGCTGCCGGGTGGTTGGGAGGTGAGAAGGACAGTAAGGGTGTGGCAACAATTTTAAAGTCTAAAAGAGCCATAGCAAGTCCACCATTCACTAGGAGTCCACGGTGCTTTACAAAGACTGGAGGATCTGGGGATCTCACGGTGCTACTTACTCCTTCTGACCCATGTGGGTCACTAAAGTGCTCACAATTCTCTCTGGACCCAGGCTGCCCTGAAACACAGGCAAAACTGCTGGCCCACCTGTGTCAGAGACTACGGCTTACGTGTTTTTGTTTTTACTGTTTTTCTTGGCTTGAGCTTTTATACTAATTTATATTTTTCTTGGTACTGATTTTTATGGATGAGAAGAATGGAGTTGGAGGATGACTCCTGTGAGTGGCCTCCATAACTGTGGATTAAAGCAGAATATAAATAAATGAAATCATAAGCAAGGCCCCACTAGCTGGGGTTCCCACCATCCCGAATCAGTCTAGGAAAGCAAGGGAGCATCAAGCGGGCAATTAGTTGGGCGAAGTGTGCAGGGCTTGGCCAGAGTGTTGGATGGATGAATGAGTTCTTCAGTTAACGCATGGTGGGCTCTGGGGCTTTCTTCCCACAATAAGGACAAGACTGATCAAGGCAGAGTCTTACCTTCTTCAATGGTTACATTCCCTCGGAAGAAATACTTCCCGTGGCCTCTGGAGAGCGCTACACCTAAACTGTGCAGAGAAACAAAGCAGACCTTGAGAGCCATGGCATACGACTGGAATAGACTTGTGGGCTAACTTATTTTCCATTTTCACATTTTCATTTCATGTTCTGTAAACAATTTTTCCAACAGTTTATTTTCAAAACCCCACTGATTATAGTTGGTGTTGGTTTTTCTTAGGTTCAATCAGCTGCTTCAAAGCACTTTTTGTGATTGGAAGTGCCAGCAGCAATTGGCGGCTCTCGCGTGTTTACAAAGAGGTGTGGCACACTGCTTAGCCCCCTAGCAAGTCTTTTTCTCGGACGCCCTCAAGAGGGTCACTTGCCTCTCTCTTCACTACCATCTTACGCACCCCTGCCCTGCACTCAGCCAGGGACAGGTCTTTCCAGACCTTCGAGTTTAGGGAGGGGAACGTTAACCCCTTCCCTAGGGCAGAAGGACAGCGTCTACCACCATTACTGTTCTGTGGGCTTCTCTGCTCTCTCCCTCGCCTAATCGAGTAGTCACGCTCTCCCTGGTTTGATTTAAGCTCCTTCCTGCATTTGTCTAACATAAGAGAACATGTTTTGAAAACACAGTCTCTTCATTTGACAAACCCACTTAGCCGTCCCGCGTCCCCGTGATTGCTCCGCTTCTGCAGCGAACCTCCCCGCGGTCCCTGGCCGCAGGGGACAGCTGCGCAGCCCTCATTTTGCAGATTACGCTATAGTCAGTACGTTCTTTCTTTGCTCCGCTCTGCGCGGCAGCGGTTCGGAAACAGGGCGCAGCCCCCACTGAAATAACTTTTTACGGAAGGGGTCACAACCCTGAGTTGACAGCCGCGGAGACCATAGCAGGGCCACATGCGCATCCGTAAGCAGGCAATGAGGCCAAGCCGTTTTCCCAGACTGTCACAGAGAGAAATCACAGGATTCAAAGGTGGACAAGCACAGGACAGTTCAGAGAAATTAACATGGAAATACAACATGTAGGGATGGGATGCTACCTCCACGTTTGAAGGATTTTTGGGGGGGAAGGGGTCATGAAAATAAAAGGTGAAATGAAACTCACTAGGCAGCAAGTTAGATGGTTAAGGACCCTGGTAACCCTCTGGACTTGTCTCTCCACCCTCAGTTGGAACCCCCAAAGCTTATTTGCTTGATAATGAGATGCAAAGCCAAGACAAACTGAGTGAGTTCTCCTGCGTGAGCCTGAACCATCTCCCCCCGTCTGGAAAACAGAAACAGAAGCAGCCTGGGAAAAGCCCCTTCCTCACTCTTTCCAGCCCTTCGGCAGGGTGTTTGGTTCTCTTCGGATGATGACTCTGAGCCTGCCAGCAGGTTTCGTACAAACACAACTGATGGGTCTGATGGAATGTCCATGTATTATGGTCAGCTCTACCTGAATGGAGTACCCTTGATGTCTGTATAATAGTAGTCATTTGTCATCACCAAAACCCGTTTCTAGATTGAAGAAAAAAAGTCGTAGAGAAAAGAAAACATAGTTAGTCTGCTAGGTGAAGTTTCCAGAAATAAATAAAAATAAATGGACACACTGTGATCAGGTTAACAGTACTACATGAATCTTGTTTGAGATAAGTAAAGACAAGAGAAAAATGATCTCAGCGAAAGATATTTATTCCAGATAGAGCTTTCAAAGCTAATTTTTCACAGTGGTTTGTTTTAAATTAAGCGGCAAGAATGTTTGAGAAAAATGTACCCCTTTGTCCACTGTCTTCTTCACCTCCATGGAGAACTTCCCTGTCTTTCGATTCACCATGGCGTTTCTTAACTAAAACGATAAAATAACACGGTGTTAGTTCTTTTTCTGGGTCAGCAAGCCACCCAGACACCTGGCACCCTCCAGCCTAGGAGCGGCTGTCTCTCGAATTGTGGGTGCGCTCGCAGGGAGCCTCCAGGGGCTCTCAGACCCCTAAAACAGGGCTTCCACAGAACAAACACCCCATAGCTGCTGAGCAAGGGGAGAGAGACGGACTACAATCCGTAAATGCCTTTCAACTTCAATTTGGGGTGCTCGGGGACACCTCAGGACAAAAAAGCCTGTGCAATGCTGACTGAGTCCAAAAACGAACCGCCAACAACCCGCCCACACACTCAAGAAGCAAGAATATCTCTGGGGATAAGTGACATTCTCAAAAAGGGTATTGGTGTGTCATGGAGAAATCATTTTTCAAAACTGAAGTTTTTCTACGCGGTAGTTAAAACAAGAAACAAAAACACAAAAGAGGCCAACCATTTGGAAGACAAGGACTAGCTTTTCATTGCGTGCATCATCTTCAAATGCTATCCGAGGAATCAGGGCCCATTAATGGCCTTGCTGACACTGACGGGCAGTGAGCAGGGCGACCTCAGATCTGATAGTTGGAGGTCCCATTTGGAGCGCGGAGCCTGGCTCCTTCCCCCACCCCTGGCTGACCTCTCCTCATTATGTGTGGCCCTTCTGTGAGTTCAGAGAAGGACAGCAGACGCAGTGATGAAAGATGTGCCGTCATGGGAACCAATGGGAGACGACAGGGAAGGCCATTTAATGGACCAGCAGAAGGCTGACGTGCCACAGCCTGTCAGGAGAGGTTCTTTCTCAGCCCGCACCTTGTTTTTTTCCATCCTTTCCCCTCTTTTCTCCTTTGAGGAGCTTGAGTACGATCTAGGCGATGGAAAGCTGCCACACTTGCAAGCAACCTGAATCTGATTCGTGGTGTCTAGATTCGGGTCCCCATTCCCACTTTCGGTGAGATAGAGTAAAAGCATAATATTTATTGGGAGGAATGTATGAAATAAAGCATATTTTACTCTCGATATTTTTTAACAACACATAATGGGCATTTCTGGAAATATTTTCCCATTTTAGCTTTTGTGGTTTTGGATGGGGAGAGCTGGTCTTAATTAAGTCTACTTTCTAACTTTTAAGAAAGGCTCGATTTATCTTTAACATGGTTTTCATTTTTCCTCTTTCTGGTGCCTGCCTAAAGCCATTTGGGACCTTCCCTCTCACATTCCCCAGGCAGGGCAGAGATTAGGTGAGGCCCCCCACCCTCCGGGCCCCCCACCCCCCGGGCCCCCCACCCCCACTCCCGGTAGCACGGAGCAGTCAGCACGGGGCCTGGCAGGATCCAAGGCCCGGGTCACCGACACTTTCCCCAGGCAAATGCTTAGACAATGAGTCTAGAATTTCTCTTGTCTTCAACGGTCATGAGACTAGGTTACATGTATTGAACACCTGCTGGTGGGCAGGATGGCACTGTGGTTAAGAAATGGACCCTGGATCCAGAGCTCTGTGACCTCAGACCAATCACTCACCCTCTCTGTGCCTCGGTTTCCTTTTCTTAAAAATGGAACTAATGACACTGCCCGTCCCACAGAGCTGTGGGGAGGGGGCGGGGGCTAAGATTTAGGGGAGGGCTGGTACCCCTTGGCACTCAGTGAACGCTGGCCGTCCTCCACCATCACCGCGCCAGCAGCAGCGGCCCTTCTGAGCCTCCTCCTCACATTCGTTACCCTCAGACCCCTTTCAGCCGTGTAATGAACCAGGGTGCAGACTCCAGTCGGCTTGACACAGAGGCCCATGCAGTGACCAACGTTCTTCAAACTTCTGACGGGGAGCCTGTAACAAACCCAGCTTCTCCGATGCTGCCCCGATGTCTCCTATTCTCACAGATTTCATTGCTTTTGTTTCATTCTTTTAACTGATGCTCATGAACAACTCAATGCATGTTGTGAGCCTCCCCTAATTCCCCAGGATGAAAACCGCTGCTCATAGCCACCCCCGGGCTGGCACCTCGTGGAACAGAGGCGGTCCCCAGGAGAGAGACGCAATGCAGGGTACAGGCTCAAGTGTCAGGGTTTACCATGACACATCCACTGTCCTGTGACCTCGCTGTGGCCCAGCTTCCTCATCTTTCATCCGTTCCGCCCCAGTGTTCATGAGTGAGGACTTCCAGACACCCCGGGATCCTGCCAGGTGCTCCAAAACCGTGTTCATCATAGTCTCACGGGGCCTGGATAGTGTGACAGACACTGAGCTCTTACTACATGCCAGGCATAGGTTTTAAACCCTCAGATCCATCCCTTCAGAGATCACTAATATCCCCGTTTTACAGGTGGGGAAACTGAGGCACAGCATTAAGCCACTCCCCCACGATCACACAGGCTTTCTGCCCCCTGAACCCACGCTGTTACTTCTGCATGGGAACACATTTGGACAAATTTAGAGCATTAATATAAAAATTGTGTTGTACTAATATAAAAATAATTTATTGCTATTTCTGGATATTTTTTAAATCAAAGAAGATGTTCTAAACATTGACCCTGCAATAGTCTGCGGTTTGGATGTCCCAATAGGCAGTCCCAGGAGCTCGAGGTCCTGGGTCTGGGGCCACAGGAAGGTGGGTTTCTGTCTTCTCTGCCAGAGTATGGAAGGGTGACTGTGCGGTGACAATACAGCTCTGCGGGGCCGCAGCTGTCTAGAAATGTTACTTTTCCCTCTGAGGGGACTGAGACTGGAGAAGGGGACAGCTTGCCCAGGTGCTGTGGTAAGTCAGTGGTACCGCCAGCCCCCGGTCATGGATCCAAGTGGCACCCAGAGCAGAGGTACTGTGCAAGGAAGGGCAGGATCGGTGGTGGGGCTCAGAGCTGCCAACCTCCCGGGAACTTACCACCGCCCGGACTACCGCATGGCCAGCCAGAGCCATGGAAATGGCCCAGCAGAGGGGATCTCCAAACGAGTTCGGGTGTGCTCATGTTAAAATGTTGTATGGGATCAGAAAGTCACCTGTGCCGATGTTCAACTTGACATATAGTCAAAGGAAGGCAAAGTAAGAAGATATCATGACATACCTTTATTATCCCCTATCAGGTAGCCAGCGTTTGCAAGGTGTCCATGCAGTGGACATACAGCGGCTGTCACCACAGCGTGGTTGATGAGGGAAAGGACAAACCTCTTCAGGCTGAACAGGAAAATCTGGTGACTGTGATCAGGGCCGCCGGACTTCGGGAACCACCCGTTCCTCTGGGCCTGGCCTTATCCAGCTCAGACATGCTTCCCCAGAGCCCCAGTGAGACTGTCTCTCCTCTGCACCCCAAAGCTGAGCACCACTTTACTAACGACTGTGGCCACTGGTGGCCATGCTTCTGGTCCCACGTGTCAGAGTTCGTTACGAAGCTTTCCCCAGGAATCCTTGATCACCTTCGGTTTTGTGCATAATTATATGAAGATAGCTCATTCTCCTAGTGCTGGTTCGTTATCCACACCAGGACACGAGCCTCACCTTTGCCGGTGCACAGGCATGCACTTCTGGCCCCTAGTGGATGCAACCCTGGCCAAGCCAACAGATTAGAGGGGGAGGAAGGACAGTGGAGGAACAGGTCTGTTATTCCCAAGCCAGCCTTCAACCAGGAGCTGGAAACAGACTCAGACACAGAGCGCTTATGCAACAAACCCCGCTCTCTCTCCCCAGCTGCAGCCTGGGCTCTCGGGGGTGCTGTGCCAGCCTGGGGGCCCAGGACTCAAGCATGAGCTGCAGAGGTACAGGAAGGGGTGGAAAGAACAAACTAAATGGCCAGAGTTCTCAGGAATATGCTCCAGGAGAAGAGGTCGCGAGGCTTTGGAAAGAAAGGACTTGGAGGAATCTCTGTCAGCATCATCCCAGGTAAGAAAGCAAGTTTCCTGGTGGGCAGTAGGAAAAAGGGCCCACACGGCCACACGAGGGTTTCAGCTGGACTCAGGCAGAAGCTGCCGGGGCCGTACTCACAGCATCACCACCAGCGTTTGTTCAGCAGCTAAGTGCCAGGCACAGCCGATCTCTTCTGCACCCGTTGGGGGAGGATAACACATATAAGGCACTGACGTAGGGTCTTCATGGACTCCTGGACTCAAGGGCTTTTTCTAAGGCACCAGCGTGGTCAAGAGCACTGGGGCCAGGCTGCCCGGCTTGGAGCCCACACTCAGAGCCTTGGACTATGGGAGCAACTCTTCAGGTGAGGACAGCAGAGACATGGACTTCTCAGGACTGCTGGGAGGGATACACAAGTTCGTCCACATGGAGCACTGAGAAGGGTACTGGCGGGTAGGAAGAACTCAACATGTGGGAGCTCTTATTGACGTTAGCTTTATTCTGTTTGTAGAAATAATCGTGTTCATGGTGGAAAGCTTAGGAATGACTAAAAGATCGCAGAAATGAGAGAGACATCATCCTTCACTCCTCCAGCCATCTCTGGGAATGTAAAGATACTGTCCTTCGAAGAGGTGAGCAACTGCAGTGAGTAGGTCCGGGCTATGCAGGTTGCAGGACCCCTTCCTGGCTCACGGGTCCCCGCAGGCCTGTCCTACTCCCCAGATTGTTGACAGGCTGCCCGGATCAGCCTGGAGCTGGAGGTCCACTCATCCTCCACTAAACGAGGTCTTGTTGCTTAATTATTTTTGTGTTTTATCTAGTCTTATTTTGCATGTGTTTTAATAGTATATGTGACCTTACGCCTTTAATTTAGAAGTACATTCGGTCTAAGTTGTAAGTATGGTCATTAAATGCTACAGAAGCCTAGTGGCCCAGACAAGTAGGGCCCTGCTTCCAAGAAGGTCTCTGCAACTGGGCGGACTCACGCTGCTGCTTCTCAAACGGCTTTTGCTCACCTGGCTTTTCCCAGGCCTTGACCCAAAGCCCCCCTTCTGCTACCTACATGCAAACCTCAGTGGCAGACACATGGGTATGTAGGATGCTTTGTGTCGACTCCAGAATCCTCCCATCGACGGGAGAGAAATGGCGACTTGGGTTTTTCCAATCGAACACGTGGATCATGAAGAAACTCACATTTCAAATGTACTGTGCTCCCCAGGTGACAAGTCAAGAGACCCAAACTGAAGAGACAACCAGACACCAGTCTGTGCAGAACAAGAGCCCCGGACTTGGCGGAGCCATGGGCGCTGGGCGGTGGACACCGGCCCCACCCGAGTCGGAGGCAGGCGAAGGCCATGCACACAAGGCTGGGAGCCGAAGGCTCGGCAGCTCCGTGAGAAAGGCAGACAGGATGGGGAAATGAAAGGCCTATTCCAAGTCATTCTCAGCAAACGGGGAGCGCTGCCTGACTGAGCACTAACTGGGGCGCCGGCGATGACTGGAGGGAGCCACGCAACCAGTGTCTTCAAGTCACAGGCAGAGGACAAGTGCGTGTCGGCGGAGCGTTAACTAGCGGGGGGTGTGGATGTGGGGCCCTGGAGGAAGGAGTTTCATCACGTCTGCCTTCCATGTTGATGAAAGCGGAAAAGATGAAGGGCTAGAGAAGCATGGGAACAAGGTTCGAGCCTTCTGGGAGAGAAAACCGAAGGGTCCAGTGAAGTCACAATAAAGCCACAGAGGAAATGAAGACGGGAGAGAAAGGAAGACGATGGGATGCGGCCGCCGGAGATTCACGAGGCCGTTTAGCAACCGCGAGTCCGCAGGACATTGATTAATGGGAAGGTCTCCTGAGGACCCCGAGGACGACGGTAGCGCTGACAATGGTGACCACTCGCCGAATGCTCGCCATGCCACACACATGGCACTTTGATTTATCGCTTTCAATACATCAACACACTGAATATTCAAAGCAGCTCTAGGAGGTAGTTGCTATTATCATGATTCCCATTTTACTGGGTAAAAACAAAAGAACAAGAAACAAAATTGAGGTGCAGACAGGATCATTGTTTCCCCGAGACCAGTAGCCAGCAGGCAGCAGCCCAGACCCCGGGCAGGCTCACCCCTGAGCGCCACTCCTCACCACAAGGCCAGTCTGCCTCTTGGGATGAGCAGGTGGAAAAGAAAGGGCATATATATTAGGTGTGACACCATCAAAAGACCCTTCCCGAGTCCTGACAACCAGGCTTAAAGAAGAAGGAAACAGAAAACGTCCAGGCCACCGAACCACCAATGTGTGGACAAGAGGGCAGAAGAGGACGTAGCTTCTTACCAAACGGCGGTTATGTTGTCTGAACTTGGATTGAAAAAGACTGAGTGCAGGTGTGGAAGAAAATAGCTTAAGTTCTGAAACAGATATGATTTTGGAATTTTACTAGCAAAGAAGACAGCCAGAGATGTGTACAGGCTGAGACGTCCGGGGAGCAGAGGGGGAGAGGAAAAGCCACAGGAGCCAACTGCCACGCTGGCCACGTGGGTGGAAGGCAGAAGAACCAGCCTGGGGATTTCAGATGGTTCCCGTCAACATTTCTCTGGGAAGCCAGACAGAGCGAGGGATGGGACCGTGCCGAGTCCACGGGGAAACGTAAGAGAGGCCCCCAGACCCATCAGGGAGGATGCGGGCAGAGATGTGATCAGAGACAACGGAGAAAAGGCGAAGAGCAGGGATCTGGGCAGAAACACCTGGGCAGTTGTGATTTCATCAGGACCGTCTGCCTGCATCCACACAGAAGCAGCCATGTCTAACACATCTGATTTAATGAGGACACATCAAGACGACTGACGAGGCTAAGCCGTGGGCCTAGGAAAGTTTTGATACAGTACTGGCAGCCGAATCTGTGTGGGAAGTGAGCGAGTGGTGATGGTAGTACGGTGGTGCAGGGGGACACGCTGTTACTGCCCAGGAAACGGGGTGGCCGTGCCCTTGAATCGTCACAGGTGAATTCTGACCCTGGCTTGGCACAAGGCAGAGCCCCCCGCCAGGCTCCCTGGCAGTGACGGTCCCATCAATGGCACCGAAGAGGCATATGGATTCATCAGCTGCAGAAGGGACCAGAGCCCACCGGAGGATGGTTTTTGCCGACTGTGCAAAGCAGGCTGGGTGGCTGGCCTGTGTGCACTGGTCCGACCAGTGAGTTATAAAACTCCAAACTCAGTAAAAGGGCCCATTGTCTCCACGTCCCTCGAGTGGCCAGGTGTCCCTCCGGTAGGCCTCTTGCAGGCTCCCGGGGCAGCCTTCGGGTCCAGGATTGGGTACAATGGAGCTCCCTCCTCATTGGGCTTGAAAACAAATCACTTACCACATCATCTCTGTCTTCCCACTCCACCTCGGAAAGGTCAACGCTACTGTAGTTAGGCTTCCTTCGCTTCTTTCCTTCTTCGTACTAGCAACGGGAAGGGACGGGAAAAGAAAACACGTCCGTGAGATCACCAGCCGGGCAGCCTCTGTCCCCCGTCCCGTGTTGAGGGTGGGGACCACAGATGAAGGGATGTCGGTGCGAGGCCCTGCCTCTCCAGAGGTTTGAACGGCAGGAAAGCAGGGTCAGAAACCTGTAACCATTTGCTCTGAGCGAGGAGAAAATACAAGTCAACTATTTGCTTGATAGGAATTTACTCAGTGAACCCCTTCGTTCTAAACACACCAAATGAAAGGCGAGTTTCGCCCTCCTCGGATGGTTTGTGTGAGGGAGACATTTCCTCTACGACAAAGTGAAAAACCACCCGTTCGAAACACAGGACAGGGCTTACATGTCACGAAATTCCTAGCGGTGGCCCTTGGTGTTTCACGGTTCCCCAACCCCACCTCCTTGCACTCCATACCCTTTGCCACAGAGGCAGAGTCCTGGGGGGTCAAACGCCTGGTGACGTGCAGACACGCAGAACCTGCTGCCCCCTGGCCACAGCAGCCCTGCGCTCAGACGGCTGCGTTCCCCGGGGGGTTGTGGGCGCTGGGAATCGCTGCCACAGTTAACGCCATTGGGCATTTCTCCAGAAGAGCTGACGAGGGCATTAGTAACTGGGGAAGTGGTGTCAGGATCCCCCCCAAATTGCCGACTTTAGTCACCCTGCAAGCCTACCATGTTATCCACCGGATGCTCGTGTGTCTGGACATTCCTGGGTCCAGGCCCTGACTGTTGGCTGCTGGGGTGTTTATAATGTGGGAAAGCCTGCCCTCTACTGTAGGCTCCGGAGAAGCAGCTCGTGACAGTAAGATCTGGCTAGTGGCACGCTGGAAAAAATATGTGTAGGTATGGTTTTCTCTTGTTTGCTTTTGTCTCTGAATAGGTCATCTTTTGATTTAATGGGTAAGATTCTAAGACTCCAAAACCACAAGTTGCCGTGTTGAACACTGCTTGCCTCCCACGCAGGCAGGTGGTGAAGGCACGCGAGACATGAAGGAGAAATCCCTGGGCACAGGGTGAACCAGACAGGTCTAAGCTGGCCCCCTGAAGTCTAGGGGAGACCAGACAGCGCGTCCCTGTGGGCCACACAGGGCCGGGTGGTCTCCCCATCCTGCATTCTGACTGCATCTCAGGAACCCCGAGACTTCTCTGGATACTTCCCACTCCCAACACCCGGAAGGCCACCTCCCTCTAGGGGGCTGGGGGCCCTGATCAGCCCTGGCTGACCAGCCTTCCTCTCCCCTCTCTCCCCTTTCCAGTTGGCAGACACTCCCGGTGCGTGTATGACATCAGGCCCCCTCCAGCTGAGGAGGAAGGGAAGAGGTTCCCCCAGAAGCCGCTGTGAACGATAGCAGATTCTCAGTGGGATCCTGCTATGCAAAGTTCCTGGGTGCAGGGAAGCTCTGGTCCTCGTGAGAGCCAGGCCTGGCTGAGCGGGAGGGACAGGACACGGTCAGCGGGGCTGTCGCCAGAGTCTCACAGTGAGCAGGTGTGACGGGGGAGGACACGTGAAACGAAGACTCCCCACTGTCCCGGAGGAGCTAAGGAGACCTTCGTGGACTACTGTTACCTGTGTTGATGGCTCCGAGTCCCATTTTAGTAAGAGCCATTGCGGAGAGCCACTAGGCCCCCCAGAAGCTCCCATGGCCCCGATCCCAACCATTAAAGGAGAACTTTCACAATCTCTTTGATGGCCTAATGCTAGCTCTCAGCTGTCATTTTGGTGGTGGTTCTCCCTTTGGTGGCTTCAGAAGACTCCTTCACTCATTTATTCCACCTACATTTACTGGACACCGGGTAAGCGGAAAGTCCTCAGAATATATAGTCAGTTAAACAGTGCTTAGCTCTCCCCAGGATTCACTGACAGCTGGTCGCCCCTCTGCCTCTGGAAGGTCAGTTTATTGCCCATCATGCATTTGGGAAAATGGGCTCTAACAAAGGGGAGCTCAGTGGATGGAGCATCAGCCCACACACCGAAGGGTCGCGGGTTTGATTCCAGGTCAAGGGCATGTGCCTGGGTTTGGGTTTGATGCCCCACCCTGGTTGGGGCGCATGCTGGAGGCAACCCATCGATGTGCTTCTCTTACATCATGTTTCTCTTTCTCTCTCTCTCTCTCCCTCCCTCCATTCCACTCTCTCTAAAAATAAATGGAAAAAAAAATCCTCAGGTGAGAATTAAGCAAAAATAAAATAACAAGATAGATAAGATCATATAGCTAGGATGGGGGAGGACACCCCCCTACCACAGTCCCTGAGCAAATTTTCATGGCTAAGCCTCATGTTATTTCAACCACTGTTAAAGAAATTTAAAAAGACCCCAAAGTTCAGAGCACCGAATGTTCCTTTATCCACAGAAAAAGTGTCCACCTGTCTTTGCTAGAAGAGGAAAACCCAGCGATCCTCACACTTAATGGGCATGTGGCCAAGCAAGGTGCCAAGCAGCTCGAGGCTGCCTTTTCTCAGTTGCCAGTAGGACAAATAAGAGACCCTCCATAGCCAAGGGAGGTTGAGAGGATGACATAGATATTGTATATAAAGTGGGGAGCAAATTCCCAAGCGTGAAATAAATCCTTACTATGTAACCAGCATGATTCCTGAGAGCATGACCTTCTTGCTGAAGACACAGGCTCATCGTATACAATTGACCAATATTTCATTTCAATGAAACGAAGGGGACCCATTCAACAGTTTTGCAGGTCACTGCTCTGCAAACCATAGGCAGGCAGGAGGGGTTTGTTGAAGAGGATGATGTCAGGCAATCACACACACAGGTCTTCTCCCGATGTGTATCTTACACACCAAGAGTTGTACACTCAACACCAAGTTGGGACTCAAGACTCTCCTGGCAGAAAAATTCACCCTGTGCTAAAGAACCCAAGTCCTCTTGGATGGCACCTGCAAAAGTGGACGGTGCAGAGAACCCTGCTGTCCGACCATTCATACACAGTCTTTCTTCAGTTTTGTGATAACCACTCAAGAAATGCAGTACATTATATTATTGGCATTCATGAAACTTGAAGAGATTAGCGAGTGAGGGAAAGTAAGATTTCCCAGCACACTGATCAATCAATAAACTGCCATATTCCAGCAAGTCTCTGTGATTTAATTTCACTGAATGAAACAGACAGGGTTGGGCATAGTCCCTCTGGAGCTTGGTTGCGGGAATGCCCCTCCACAATGTCTCCTTAACCAGGCCCGTGAAACAGGTCTGAAAACGCTTTCCATCTGGGTCTTTACTGATGGGTGAGCTCCTTTAGAATATAAACAGCGATGTAGCAGAGTGATTCATTTGGGTGAGAAAAGGAAGTCAGTGGTCTGTTGCATGTAGAAAACAAGTTGAGAAGGATGAATAAACTCTAGCATAATGACCCCAAATCCACCTTTGTCATTCCCCCCATTACGAAACATATTAAAGGGCTAGAGATTAGACCTTCTTTAGGAAGACACCATGCTAAAGATTGTTAACATCCATTCCCCACATTTAAATGGTAACTGGGTTTTTTGTTGTTATTCCCAAAGGGGCCCTTTGACCTTACTCTCAATAAATATAGTTCCAGTGCAGGTAAGACCACCCTTGGTTCAGAGGTAGGCAAGTGACCTGAACATGTGAGGAAGACCCAGATATCTCCAGGACGCGGTGATTGGTTCAGAGATGGGGACATAACTCATCCCAAATGAGACTCCATCTGGGATACTTTCTTGGATTTATCCAGAGAAAGAGGCTCTCTATCCACCAGCACCAAGAAGGTGGGAAGATGTGACCTGGAGCTCATGGCTATCTCCGCCACTACGTTCTGAGAGTGGTGTCACTGCAGAGAAAGCAGAGAGCAGATAGGAAGGAGCAAGGCCCGAAGCATGGAGCGCACACCTGCGTCAGCTGTGCCTGCCATCCGTGTTCCGTTGGATGTTTCATGGACCAATACATTCTCTCCATGTGGGAATTCCCTTTACAAAGATTTTTTAAAAGCTGACTTCAACAGAGTTCTGACTTGTATATAGTATTTAGTGCCTTTAGTTTTTTCTTTTAGAATGAACTGTTTTAAAAGTACATTTTAAGGGAACTGTTGACCAACTGTGGTCCTTGAATGACTATCGAGGAACATGTGATTTGGTGTTCCTATAGGGAACCCCTCGGTTACCTCACTGCTAATCGAGATCAATTACATGTTTAAGCACGGCTGACCCCTGTACCTGTTTTCCCCCTGAGAGGACATATGTGTGTGGCCACAGACAGAGAAGGACAAAAAAATAACTAAATTCTTGGATCTCTGACTCCCAGGCCAGCTCCCCCCCTCCCAGGGGTCTCGGCCGGGACAGACCCCAGGTCCACCAGCCCACTCCCTCTTCCCTGCGTGAGGATCTTGTTACTGCGGCCGAGGCACTGTATATGGCATTTGTTAGTGTATCTGTAATCTGTAACTTCCTTTGAAAATGTGATTAACGAATTGCAAACGGTTTCCAAAGGTTTATAAACAGATACTTTGAGAGCCACAGGTAGGTTTGTAGTTTTTGGTGCCTGTTTTATGAAAAAAATATGTGAGGGAGAATTTAATAAGGAAAGATATTCTGTGCTATGAAATACTTTGAGGTGGAGTTTTAAATAAAGGCCAGATGTGGTGAACACACAAGCCAGCCTGTGGCCTCGGAGGATGGGACGAGAGGGGCACCCGTCTGCGCAGGAAGCGGGCACCACCTGGGGCAGTCTCGGCTGGATGTCAGCGCCCTCCGTGTCACCTGCAGACCCACTTCGGAAACCCAGTGGGCGGGGTACAGCAATGGCCATGTTCACGTCGGTTTGAAAAACCCCCAAATGCCTTTGGTTTTTCTGTGTTCTTTTGGGAAGAGCCAGAGAAAATCAGCTACACACATCCATGCAGCCTCCGTGGGACAAATACTGTGTATGTTAATAATTGATCAACTGTACGTGCTGCTCCCTGCTGCCAACAGGAAGGAAGGAGATGGGGAGGGAGGCCCACAACTGG